AATAAAACTGAATTGAATTGAACTACTTGTATTTGCAACACAGTTGGCATACTTTTCTTAATTGTGAAAATTGTTAATCTTAAAGTTCTCTTTTAAAGAAGAGATCCCGATCTCAATGAGCCTAAATAAAAAATAAAATAAAAATAATAAAAATTGGTGCATACAAATTCACCAGAATGCAGCAACTGAAGTGTTTGACGCTCAAAGACAAAGCCTGGACTTAGGCTTAGTCTAACATGTGTCCCCCTCAGTGCTGAAATGAAACCTAAATCCTTGGTTATGGATGTGCTCAAAAAGCAAAATTTCACATTTCCATTATAGCAACATTGCTTTAGGTTTTTTTTTCTGCAGGACAAAAAAGTATAATATCTTATATAATATCTTATATAAGTTATATTAAATGTTATGAACACATTTAGGTTACACCCAGCAAAGTGCTAGGGGGTTGACAGAACCCATGCTGCTGCAGCCAGCACCCAGCCCCTGTACACGGGTGCAACAGGTGAGCAGGGAGGCCACCCACCTATACATTTACTTCAATTTAAATTTGAATGATTTTATTATAATTTCCATTATTTATTTGACGTCTTACTTGCTAACGCACTACCAGGCCATACTCCAGATCAGAGGGGGGCGGTAAAGCTGAATGAGGAACCTAAATAAAGGAGGAAGTGACGACGAAGAAATGTTTCTTTGCGCATGTGCACAAGTCTGTAGTTTCAGGCGGGTTCGGCTGGCGGGCTGATTCAAAACAAGATGGATTTGATATCTGCGCTACACTTTCTGAAGTTAAAAGAAGTTCCAGAAGGTAAATAGTGCATTTCGTCTATAAAGGAAACGACATTTTCTGTAATACTGACTGACAGACATTCAAATTCTTTAACTTTACGTGACAATTTATTTAGGGAAAAACAGCGCTCTGATATTTAGCAAATTAGCCAATGTCAACTGTTTTGATAGCATATAAAACACATATAAAATGAAACTTCTGACCATATATCTACACCGTTAGGAACGAGTGGCAAATTCGGCCCCAGATTGTGTACACATACTGCGACCTGAGCTCAGCTTTATGAGTTAACGCTAGTTGTCTGTTCGCCGAGAGGAACATTGGATGTTTGTAGTAAGGTTGGAGCAGGAGCTGCAGTGTGTGTGTGTGTGTGTGTGTGTGTGTGTGTTGTGTGTTGTGTGTTTGTGTGTGTGTGTGTGTGTGTGTGTAGTGTGTGTTAAAGGTCAACTGTGTGACAAACAGCATTATAATGCAGTACTGTAGTGCTGCACGGATACTCGGGTCTAAACAGCTGAAAGAAAACACGTCAGTGTGGTACAGACCAACTAATGTCACATCATTCTTTCTTTTCAGTGAAAATGAAATTGAGATGCAAATATGATGCTTCCCACTAATCATGAATCATATCACAATGTCTGTCAAAATAATCCAAATATGTTTTTGTTTTTTTGAACACATTGTGACGCATTATTTGGCATTTGATGGGGTCTGTACCAAACTAAACAAATGATTTCTTACATCTGGAGAACAACATCTGTAGGCCAGGGTATCTCTGCAGAACTTTATAATTATAATGCTGTTTGTCACACATTTGACCTATTTTTCATTGGATATTGCACTTGGCCATATTGTGATTTTGATAATATTTCGTTTAAATGTGCAGCCCTAATTGTTTCAAACACTTTCAAAGCAATGATATTATAGTAAAATGAATATCTTATAGCTTGTGACTGTTGAGTGGACAAAACAGGACATTTAATGTTACTGCCTGAGCTATGAGAGACTGCAGTGGGTTCAGTTAGGATGATTAGTTGAGAAATATAGAACATAATCAGCAGATGAAAAGATAATTAAAATAATCCCCAGTTGCTGCGTCACTTAAGTTCCAAAATGCGGTGTCTTGTGGTACTGTATCACTCCAGTAATGTGACATTGTGATTTTTCAGCCTGGGTGGATGAAGTGTGGGACTTGGAGTTCACAGAGCGAAAGCCACTGGATGAAACCGTAGAGGAGGGACTCGCACACAGTGGAGACAAGGCCTTCACAACCCTGTACCAGTGTCTGCTGGCCCACGCTGCTGAACAGCAACAGTCTGCAGGCAGAGATGGAGGATCACGGGTAAAACTGCACAGACGCTCTGTGCTCCAGGGAACACAAATAGGATTATTTAGAGCACTATATGGGCAATTTAGCATATTTTACTTGAAATCATGTATATTTTATATTTCTGTTGCTCATTTTCCAAATCTGCTGCAAGTCTTTCTGGATTGATTTCATGCTTAGTATTGTTAATTGTACATGCAACCAACGCTTTCTATTTTACTTAGTAATGTATGTAATGAAAATGATTTGTTAAAAAAAGAGGAAGCCCTGTTTGTTGTTTGGTAGCAGTAAGCGCTGACTGTCTCCCATGTTGCACTGCAGAGCATTTGGGCGACTCTGGGGGAGAACGGGGTGTCTGTCAAGTCTCTGGTGGCCGTGCTGTCCTCCTTTGTCCTGGCGGGAAAAGCCAAAGCGGCCAGTGTCCAGCAGAGAGTGAACAGTCTGCATGCCGCTTCAGTCTACCTGCTGCTTCTGGGAATCCCAGGTGAGGAAATCTGAAAAATGTACACCTAAGAGGGTCTGCACAAAATTTCAGTCCACCCACAAAGTCAGATTTAATAAAAGTGTTAAAACAACAGTTTGAGGATCTTCCTGTTGTGGCGTATGGAGGGTGGGTCCAGTAAGAAACTAGTCAACAAAGGTTTTTTAATAACTATTTGTTGTAAAATGAATTACTACTCAAAAAAAATAACTAACTATATGTACAACAGATGAACCTGTGTTTGAGTTATGTCCCCTGTGTTGGTTGTCATTAAAGGGCTGCTTCTTGTATCTCATTCCATTGTAAACAATAGAGTGAGTGCGCTCTGCTGGACAAACTATGTCATGATCAGCTGGTGGAAGTAATGAATCACAACTACTTTTTTAAGTATTTTACTGTACTGTAATTCTACTCTTACTTGACTTTGCATTACACTATGTAATCTACTTGTCAGTTAGATTTGATTAGAACAAATCTATAGATTATTAAATCCATCTTTGCTCACTACATCTTAGCCTTACCTACCATCAGGTGTGTAAAAACTACAGGTTATGAACTTCTTAAAATACAAAAATGTGCATGCATGCATTTTTGCATCTTTTTTCCTAACATCAACACTCAGCTCCTTGGTTATTGCTGTCATTGAGCAGGAGGTTTTACTCTGAGCGCCAGAGCTCTCTCCAGTCAGCTGGTGTCTCCGTTTTGCCTCCTTGACGCCAGCTTTCAGTCTTGCTCTGGTGGTGTTATATGCTTCCTTGTCACCTGACTGAAAGGCAGTTTTTTTAAATTCTATTGAGGATGTGTAAAGTTTGGATTGCTTTCTGGGTGCTGTAGCACAATCCACGTTAAAGTGTATCTGGTTTACACTTCACATTCGTTTTTTAATATGACTTTCTGTATATGTGTTTATTGCTTCCAGGAAGTATCGCCAACAAGGTTTTCCATGAGGTTTTGTTGGACACGTGTTCAGACCTGACCTCTCACTGCTATCCTCAGGACACTGGGAAGAAGCGCAAGAAGGACGGCCTGAAGAGTTCTCAGGCAGACGGCAAACGCTCCAAACCGCAGAGGAAAGACCCTGTTGAGGTACAGGGCTGTTCTAAGATCTAAATGCATAAAGTGTGTTACCTGTAGGGATGTAACAATACACTTAACTCCCAGTTCCATATAATTCACAATACTGGGTTCACAATATGATTTTCTCATGATTTGTTTTGCTTAACGTGATGAGACTGAAGACAAAATATGACTGAAAAACATTCCTTTATCCTTTATGGAATCCTTTTGTATTTCTGAGGAAGGGAATAAACTGCAAAACAGAAGTGTATTTCTTTTTCTGTGTGAAAGTTAAACTGATACAGCTACTGAGGCAAGTGACGTAGTGCGTCAAACAAGCACAGTCAAAAGTAGATAGCTCCCTCTGCTGTTCACGATTCATTTTTCATCTCACCAATTTAAAAAAATATCACATAATGAATGGGCCAGCAAGAATAAATGTATCCCTTTGTTGGAACTTTACTTTACTACGCAATAATAAGGCATCTTTGAGGGGTTATATCACTGTGATGGATTAGCTTTCAACAGCAGGTCAAGCAAGGACACTGAAATATTTTACGCTTGTATTTACACTTTTACACTTTTTTTTTACACACTATGTTGTACCTAACACAGATGGAGATAAATGATATATATTTAAAATGACCTTTAGTGGAATAAATCAGGTGTAGAGGGAGAGGGAAATGATGGTGCCTGTTGCTGTTATCCTCAGATGGAAGTGGATGAGGAAGAGGAGGAGGAGGAGGAGGAGCTGCATTTCTCTGGCCAGGACTTAATGAAGCTCAGGGATGCTGTAGTTCTCTTGGTTCAAAGCCTCCTCAGACTCCTGCAGACATATCCACTCAAAGACAGACCACAGAGCGCCAGCAACTGCACGGAGGTAACCGATAGATCCATCAGAACGCCCATCTCATTATCTAACGTATTATTTGTTAACCCGTGTCTTTTTCCTCCGCAGATCTTCAGTAAGCTGCTGTACTTTGAGCCGGTGATTGGGGAGCTAACCTTCGATGCTGTGCAGTGAGTTTTCTTACTTTTCTCTCTGTCTTGTTGAAGAATGTATCTAGGACATGAAAGAGCTGACACTTGATGTTATTTCTGCACAGAGATATCAGCAAGCTGAGGAGTGTTCCTGAGATGGCTTTCTACGGCCTGCAGCTGCTCTGCTTGCCAAAACACGGAGACCAGAAAGAAGTAAGATCCATGGGAGGCCAACAGTACGCAGACTTGTTGGCTTACTATGTAAACACCTAAAATATCACCTTCAGATATTATCTATCAGCCTTGCCTCTCATTGTGTCTTTGTAGTGACACATAGAGACAACGTCTTTCCTAAACACTTGGGCTAGATGGCATATTTCACACTGTATAAAGGTGGATCGTACGGTCACAGCTTGTAGCAAAAGGCACAAAAATCTTTAGTTCTCAGTGCTCAGAGGTAGAGCAGGTCGTCCACTAATCTGAAGGTTG